TTTGCGCCCTGCAGGCTACAAGTACTTTTCTGCCCTAGGGCCCAAAGTGATTTACCGGGCGTAATGGTAGTTTTCCTACGAGTTTGAAAAGTCTTTGTTTGCGAACCGAGAGGTTTGCGGCCCGAGCCGAAGGCGAGGGATGTTACGAGGTTCGTAAAGGAGAATTTTCGAACGAGTTCCGGAAAACTGCTTTTTCGCCCGAGGAAGTACCAGCCTCCCAAAACCACCCGAGGGTGGAAAAGTATTTTTAAACATTTTTTAAAAAACTTGAAATTGTATATGATTTCTAGTTTTTTTTTCTACTTATTCAAAAATACTTTAGGCCCCCAGTTTTACTGTTATCATACGGATGATACCATCTGTACTGATCGATATATAGTGAAAAAATCTGATTTTAAACTAATTTTTATTCATTATTCGTGAAAAATTTACAGCTGTAGTTTATAGCTATATTTATAGCTGAATTTTATACATTATCATAGCTGTTTTATAGGTAGTTATAGCTATAATTATAGCTATAAATTATAGGCATATTCATAGCTATAAATTTTTGACTGAGTACTGTTTTTGTCACAAGCAAATATTCCAAATAAACTCATTGTTGTAAACTAAATAAAATATACGTTTATCAGTAAAAAAGGAGACTCAATTTATGCGAAGTAATATCTTATGCCTCATTCTGTAAGGTGACGTTATTTGCATCAGAAACAAGTCGATATAATGGTTCTCATAATCTTTTTATAATTATACATAATTCTATAGTGTATCGAAAAAAAACTATTTTTCCGCCCTCGGGTGGTTTTGGGAGGCTTGTACTTCCTCGGGTGAAAAAGCAGTTTTCCGGAACTCGTTCGAAAAGTCTCCTTTACGAACCTCGTTACGTCCCTCGCCTTCGGCTCGGGCCGCAAACCTCTCGGTTCGCAAACAGAGACTTTTCAAACTCATAGGGAGACTACCATTAGGCCCTCAGTTTTACTGTTATCACACGGACGATACCGTCTATACTGATCGATATATGTTGAAAAAATCTGAATTTAAACTAATTTTTATTTAAAAGTTGTGAAAAATTTACAGCTGTAGTTTATAGCTATATTTATAGCTGAATTTTATACATTATTATAGCTGTTTTATAGGTAGTTATAGCTATAATTTATAGGTATAATTATAGCTACAAATTCTTAACTGAGTAGACACACATTTTTTTTGTAAGGAATAAATGTAGCTTGATTTTGGAAAAATATATTGAAACATAAAAGAGAAAAGAGGAAAATCAGATCGTATCTTATCAGTCCAATATCTGATTGTTCACTTTTTGCCTTGAATTCTCAATCATTCTTGCCAAGCGTGGGCTTGATTTATTCTTTGAAGTGTCAAAATGTGCGTCTACTTTAATTTTTTTGACAAAAGAGGTAGCTGCTAAATAAACAATGTTGTAAGGCTATACAATTATAGTAATTTTATTGACAAGGTGAGAAACTTTAACTATCTCTGGACTACCCTTGGAGAGCAGTATTTACCAAAACTTGCAAAAAGTAATCAACTTTTAACCTCTGACTAACACTTAACATGTACTTTGAATACTGATTCACTGTGAAAGTTTTCTAAAAACTTATGACTTTATAAATGCAATAAAAAATAACTAGTTACTATCAAAGGATATGGGAATCCCTTCTTGTGAGAAAAAATCTACTAAACTAAGCAGCTTAGCCTGTGTTCAGGAACATATCTGAAATACTTTACTAACATTTTTTTCAAACTGTTAGGAAACGTGATAACTCTAAATGTTTTTTTTTAACTTCTGTAGTTTTCAAAGACCTTCTAATATTTAATAGGTAGATAGTAGGCCACACTTGTTTCCCAAAAAAATAACTCCTTCATGAGAAATGCTGAAGACTATACATCTAAGTGTACGGATGCAGATTTTTTTTAGAAGTAACAGTTCAGGTGCCGTGTACATTGGCGTACCTCGATTGGTCTTTTCCACCGTAGAGAACTGAAGCCATACAAACAGTATGCCTCAAGCCAAGATCGCAGAACACTACCTGAAGATAACTATTTACCAACACATTCCCAGATTTTATATCTTCATAGATTACGCTTAAAGCAGGACTATGGCTTTGCAAATTTTTTCAGTAATAAGCTTTTTGTTTTCATCATTCAAGTTGAATAGTTTTTCGGTCTTTTTGTCAAATATAATAAGTCAGACTTCAAAACTACTTTTACTTTATTGATTATTCTGGTGCTCAGTTTTTGTACTTTTATTTTTTAATGATAATTCAGATTTTCTGCTTTTGTCTTTCTGCTTAGATATACCCTGAAATGATAAAATATTTAAAAATACATGTTCAACTATACCAAGTTAGGAAACACTACATGTAAACTTAATTACCACTGCAGTTGTCATCCAAAACAAAAGTATTCTCCTAGACACCCTTCAACATTAAAATAGTCATTGACAACACCACAAACATTACCATTCATTACGTATGTCATACTGGAGGTGTTCTCTAAAAATAAAGACTGTATGGTCTTAATACTAACTTTATTATTATTGACTAGGACGAGGATTGATAAACCATTATCTGGAAGCCCATCAGAGAGTTTAACAAAACTCATGTTGACAAGCTACAACAATACAATAATAACTTTAACAACATAACCTCATACACTACAATAATGTTACTTCCATAGCGTAAATACCATACATTTGTATTTACATCATTGTTATTTATACATTTTGATATTCTTTACTATATACTTATATTTTTTAATAACAAATTGCTTAAGTGATTTAAGTACTTACTTATATTATTTATGTTTGAACATGGCACTTGTGTCTTTAGATAAAAAAATGTGACGTACAGCACAACTGTAGTGATCGGCGATACTATTCAATACCGCGATACCATGTCGATACTTTTGTCCAAGTATCGATACCAATACCGATACTTTTGAGAATCGAAAAATAGCGATACTTGAATACTCGATACCCACAGTATCGAAGTATCGGTATTTTTTGCCAAGTATGACCGTGCGTCAGTATGTTATTACACCTTTTAAGAGTTTTTCTTCTAATCTAAGGCCTCGGTTACATGGAGAGCGTAACGCGTACCACGTAACCATTTAAGCCCATAAGACTGAGAGAGAGATTAGCGTACTTTACCTCTCTCTCACTCTCATGGGCTAAAATAGTTACGCAGTACGCGTTACGATCTTCATGTGCCCGCGGCCTAAGACTCCAGTCACATGGAGAGCGTAACGCGTACCGCGTAACCATTTGAGCCCATGAGAGTAAGAGAGAGGCTCGCGTATTTAACCTCTCTCACACTTTCATGGACTCAAATGATTACGTGGTACGCGTTACGCTCGCCATGTGAACGCGGCCTAAGTCTCTTTTTTCAAAAGAAAAAAACACATGTCAAGACAGGAGGTTGTTTCAAAAGTTGCAAAGTAAAGAGGCTATTGCAAACAAATTGTGTTCATGATCTACTGCAGTGGCTGCACAATGGTTTAATTACAAATGAGTCTTCGAATTCTTCCTCACATCCTCACTGTTTTCACAATTTAGGTTAGTGTTGTTTGTTATTGTAGTTTAGAATGTTAAATGATTTAGAATGATAAAAATATTTAGAAGCGTTAAAATATACAAAAAGTTTATATTTCTTTAATTCCATACTCCTTATTCGATAAAAATAATGCTACGTACATACAAACTTCAAGCTATACGAATCTCAACTTTTTGAAAACTCGCGCGATTAGGTGAACAAGTACGTCTGCTACCCACGTGACCTCCTGACCTCTCCCAGACACTATTTATTTATTTCCATCACAAATATCTCGCTAAAATGGTCCTTTATCCACAATTTTTAATACAGCATATTACAGAGGAAGACTTCATCTACAAAACGTATATATTCAGTCTGCTGGGACATTTAATTTAGGTTAATTATAAACGAAAACAAATTGTTTTCCACGCTGCCCCATAGGAACGCGTGCTAATAGTTACAACTTTGAGCTCGGATTTCTCAAAATTTTGACCCATTCGAGATATAATTCAGACCACCATTAAATTCAGTAGACTTTTATTTACAAGAAATAATATATCTCTGTTTGGGGACTTTCGCGAAGGAGCCCCCTTAAGTCGACTCATTTACTCTCTTTTATTCACGTCCTGACATACTAAATACAGTAAGCATGTGTATATATATACTGATACTTCGATACCCGACGATACTTTTCTCAAAGTATCGGAGTATCCATACGATACTTAAAGTATCGATACTTTTTCTGAGTATCACCGATCACTAAGCACAAGTGTAGACGGCGCATGAACTAAAGTTAGCTACACGAGAGCCACTGAGTAATGTGGTACCTACAGCCTTCCCTATGTTGCAAAAAAAAAAATAGAAAGCACTCAGAACTTTCTGCTAAAGTGGATGCATTTATGACCAACAATAGTTCGTGCATACCAACTAAAAATTGCACTTAGAAATGTGTATAATTTTTACTACTATAAGTTTCATTAGAGCAACTTATAGTTATTAATGATATTTTGTCTATACGTACATAAGCAAACTCAATACTGTTGATAAGAAATAGTCTTAATTTTGTTTGTTAAAAAATGTTGCTTCAAGTTCGAGACAATGAAAATAAAAAAATAAAAAATAAAGACGTTTTTAGGGGTGAATTTTAACCTTTAAAACTGTTTATTAAACGCTTACAACAAGAAAAAACCATACCTATGTATCTTTTTTTTTTTATCATTCTTTAACATATTCAAATTTCAATAAAATCGTTGAGACATACTCGAAAGACCTTCCTTGTGAGTTTTTTTATAAAGTTAAAGATGTGGTGCCTTCAACGTAATTTTAACGTAATTTTAATAACTTATGCTTATACGAAACAATAATTTTCTGTGTAATGTAACCGATAATATGTTATAGTAATTAATACAGTAAATTCTCTGATTTCATATTTGACTGCTTAGGTATAGAACTTACGTGAAGCGGACGATTGGATACGTGAAACTCAGCAGCTTATTCCGATCGATTTCGACGTCAAAGTATGCAGCACCAACGTCAATATCTCCACCTGCAATTCCTTGTACTATGTCATTGTTTTCTGTAAGTACTTTGGACGTTTCACGAGAAACATAAATAGTAACGTTTGCGCTGTATGAAAATAAAAGTATTTTGAATTATTAATATAGAGAAATACCATTGTTTGTACATATATATTGTAAACATTTATGCTGAAACACTTTCGGAAAAAAAATTACTGAAACTTTTTGTAAAACTTATACATTACAAAGAATCTCGTGTAAAACTAAATAAAAAATTAGCAATCAAGGGGTTGTAAAGAGGCAAAAACAATCATATAACCCTTGAAATTCAATGTTACTTACGTAACGTTGAGGCATTTTTCGAAAAGGTTTATTAATTCTTTAAGAGTCTCAAGGCTGCTAGCATGATCCCCATCTCCAGTGACTCTTAAATCATCATCTTTTCCATAATATATACTATTATTTTGGAGTCCAAAATTCATGACAGAACCACTTTAATGGCAAACCCAAAACATGAAAGAAATTGTTAATCATCTACCTAGATGTATTTGATGAAATTGTAGGATCGTTTTATCTCATAAATTGATAACTTTATAGGTAAACCATTTATAGAATTAAGTAAGTCATTGTTAGCGTAAAAATGGTTAATTACGTCTGTAGGTCGCAAAGTACAAACTTGAAGGATACATTTGTTGTACGTTTGTGTTTGTACCTAAGTCGCGTATATTGTTCTTCTTACTAAGGACAAAAAGTAAAATTTTGCGCTCACGGGCACACGTAGAGCCGGATGAATTACTTTGCTTCTCAGAAAAATACTTTGGGCCCGGAGAGTTGAAATTTACTTTTTTCTGCTTTGGGCGCTTTTTTTAACATTTGGGCGTTAAGTGTCCCCAAGTAGAAAAAATTGAATTTGCACCTTGTGTGCATACAACCAGGGCAAGCACAATGAGTCCTCTGGGCCATGCTCCGTAGTTCCCTTGGGCCTGGTACTTGCCCTGGTGACATGTAAGTACGACATATATAAAAAAATTCAGTAAAAAGACTTAAAGTTGCAAAAAAACAGAATACAAGGTCAGTACTAAAACATTCCTAGTAGTCGAATAAATGAAAGAAAAATTTTGAGGTTTAGTTCTAAATAAATAAATAAATCAAAAAAATTTCTGAAGAGGACACAAAAAAGTTATTGTCAATTTCGCTATTTTAACTTGATCAAAGATGTTTTCTTCTTTGAAATATGGTGCATTTATTATTTAATGGACAGTTTTTATTAAAGATGAAAAAGCACGAGATAAAAATACACAAAAATTATGTTTTACTTTTTTTTTGGTTCTATATTGTAATCTTCTGTAACGTACAATATATAGATATATCGATACATGTGCACCTCCGTATTCATACTTCAGTATCAAGAAGTAAAGATAAGACCTAGAAAGGACTGGAGAGGCAATAAGTATTCAAAATTCAACAGAGGCAGATGTATCTACCTGATTTACAAGACCTACTGCTCTTCTCTTGGCTGTATCAATTAATCAAATCCTTACAATTATCTACTATGGTCTTACCCTATAATCGTAGCGTTAAATCCACGTAACACTTTATTACCTCAGTATCATTTGTAAAGTTGCATAATAAATCAAATTAATATTTCATATGATTACACGATTTGTAATAAAACTTACGCTAGATTATTTCGGAGTCGATTCAAACTAATTTTATCTGTGAATTTTCGACTTGGACTCCAGGTATTCCAGCGTTCTTTGATGAGACTTGCATTACCTTCTACACGTATTTTGTAAACAGATACAGTATAAAAAACCTTTATTGTTCGTGATATACTTTCAGTATTTTGCACAAAATACGTTTCTGGTGGTGAAATACTTTGACTCCGGCTTAACCGTTCGTAATCATAACGTTGGCCATACTTGTGTAAGCTTTTACAGGTCCTTAAATATTAAAAACATTTCTTAATATTAACTCAATTTTAAAAGTGATTTCTTTAAATTCAAATTTTTAACTTCACACAAATAATTTATTAAACCTGATAAAATATGTATTATTTATCCATCGACAATTATTGTAAAATCATATCTACACTGGTATTCAAAGTTAAGACTACTTAGATCGCATTTTGGCAGAATAATTTTATGTGAGACATTTCTTACTTTACCGTTCTATTTTAGTATGTACGTTTAATATTATAAGGTCTTTTTAATGTAATATATTGTGGAAATAAGAATCCAAGAGACTTTATTATTTCCTACCATCCAACATTTAGATGAATAAGATGGTGTGGAATATATCCAAAAATTTACGAACGTTATGTCTCAGGTTTCATGTGTGTTATTGATTTTTTTTAGCAACAGAGTAGTGCAAAAATGTTTTAATAATCTCAAATCGTATTTATTAGAATATTATATAAAAAAATTTATTAATGCAAGTGCGTATCTTAGTAGTGTTTGTGACAATTTGTCATTTTCACAGCTTCCTTAAAGACTAGTAAAAAAAATTAATCATCGCTTATATAAGATTTTGTTACCCAGTGATTCATTGTTTTAAATATTTTTCCTACCTCGGGCGTTTTTGAGAGGCTGGTGTGCCCTCGGTAGGAAAAATAGCATATACGCCACATAAGCGCCATCGCTCCGCGCTTCGCAGGTCCCTTGGGCCGCAAAATAGGCCTGGAGACTATGGCACTTATCCGACGAAAACTACTATTAATAAATTTCTGCTTCACTTATACTCCATAGTATACGCGATACAGCAATGGATTTAAAAAGTAAACTTTTAGTTATCATCATAGAATAGTTACGCTTTCATATTCTTTAGTGACATCCAAAAAACTATAATTTTATTCGCAATACACTTACCACCTGTAAGTACAAAGAAAAATATCTTACTTGTTGAAAAATTGACGGAAAATAGATAGGATTACGTTCGACGACAGAAATGACATAGAAATAGTCACATCACTATCAACTCCTATAGGCCAGTATTGAACAGCATTAAAAATTTCTGTATTATTCCATTTAGTGCTGACTAAAAGCCATGAGATATATTCTCCCAAAATGAATATTCTTTCATTCTTATTATTAAGCATAATCTATGATTTTTGATAATTAAAATTTAAATCACTTACTAAACATTTAAATAGTAAACATCAAAATAATACCTTGCGTAATAAGTTGTCTTCCGAATTCAAATCTATATCATCAAGTAGAAGAATGACACCAATTCGATGAATTCTAATTTTCAAAACTGTTGATAGATCTGTAGTTTCAGACAAGGTCTTAATGGATGTATGGATACCTTTTTGTTTCAGACATTCCATAAGTGGTGTTGCATAAGGTCGAGTACAATCTTAAAGAGATTTCTCGTTTTTAGATTTAAAAAACTGGCCCATATTTAATGAAAATATCATACTTTCAAACTATACTTGCCATTTTTTCCAATGCAATCAAACAGAACAACTTGTTTCCAATTTTCTTCTACAGCATAATCAATAATCATTTGCAGCGTAAGGATCGTTGGTGGCATCGATGAACTACCAAACCCACTAAATCTAACTCCCGTGACAGATACAATAAAAAACAAAAAATATTCAAATAAAATCATTTTTATCACGTAAGTTTTCAACATATTTCCAAATAAACAAGTTTTATTTCATGCTCATTGTTAATAAGCTACTGCAAGTCTAGCGATAAAAATACAGCATTAAGGAGGAACAATAAGGTTCAGAAGTTGTTACTCAAGCAGTTTGCGTGCTGACAGCTTTAGCACGAATGAAAGCCAACATTTTCACTGGCCTCGAAACGTCAACATGTAAAGAGAAAATCGAAAAATAAGTACACATAAGTAGTACACAGTGGAAAGAAGTGTTTGCTTCAAATAAATAAGTCAGAAAGCTGGTTTCCGTTAAAGTGATGAGTAGGGTAAGAAAAATAAAAAAAACATGAAATATGGTGAATGAGACATTCTGGAAGTAAGTACAGACATTTTTTTGTCTAATATCTTCTTACCCTTATTTTTTAAATGAAAGAATCTATGTACTACGCTACGACAATTGAAACAAGTTTGATTGAAATTAATCCTAATTTATACACTTTTTTCGGGAATCGACTTTTTGTTAGACAAATTTTTTTTTATGAAGATTAGCTTGTTTTACCCTAGTTCACTTTTAACTATGTAACTATAACTTCTACTTTATTGGATTATTCTTTATAAGCCAACGTAGAAACAGCACTTTCTGTAGCAAAAAACAGTCTAGTTCTTGCAAGAGACTTTAGTTATTACGTAATTCTTGAGAAAAAAGTTTTATTATTTTGCTAAAATACTTCATACATACCTAAACGTCTATGAAACTTGTAATACTAACGATATAAGGTATATAGTTACCTTTTAAAAATAACTTTTAACTTTTGTGTTTAAAGATGGTTTAAAACGTAAAAGACCCTTATAGAAACTGTTAGTCAAATAGATTTTTTCCTATAAAATTAATTTTAAGTTAAAAATACTTGTAATGATTTTAACTTACACGGATGTAGTGTCAATAAGTTGATTTAATTATCCAGCTTTTAACATTCGAAAAACAATCAATAGTTTCAAACAAATAAATAAATAAACAAATAAATAGTTTTTGACTCCAAATTGTGTCAGCTAATGGCCCAAAAAAATGGTAATAGTGGCCAAAATGGTTTTTTGCGTCTAGAAAAAAACTGGAGAGCCGGACAAAAAAGTTATACCGGTAAAAAAGATGCGCAATTTCAAGACGAAAAAAATGAGCACCAGTAGGATAAAAGCAGTCCAACCGTTTTTTCGAAATTTGCAAAATGTGCTACGTAGGATCGTTTTTTTTTAAATCTATAACTCGCGTTCCATTAAATATTAAGACTTGAAAATTGAACACAAGTTATATTTTGTGTCCCTTAACATCCACACCAAATTTCAAAACGATCGGTTGTAAACTTTTTTCAAACCGCTGTAAGAAGCAAAAAATGGTCCCTCCGCAAAAAAGTGGGACGTGGCTGGTTTTTCAACATATTGCCATTTTTCAAACGGCATTGTACTCGTAAAGAGTAACTCTACAACCTACTAAAACGTCGATCCGTTTGACATTTCAGAAGTACGCGAAAAATTGATGTCAAAAATCGGCTATTTTCCGTGGATGCGGTGGCGCACTGAGCCGCTCGCAAACTCCGGAGCTATGATGCGGAGAGGGGGCATGGCCTACGGCGGTGGCTATTCGCTCCGAGCATGACACGCAGCGCCGCCCTCGGTGTCAGAATCGCGCAATACCGTACCCCCGTATAATTAAATCGTAACACTGTCGCTTATAGGAGACAGTATTATTTATTGAATAAGACGTACATACTGCTATCGCGTAAACATCAGCACCCTAAAAATGGATATGATTATCCAAACAGGCTTTAGAAGTATAAGTTGCAACAAAGTTTTTAATAATGAAACGCTGAAAAAAGCTAAAAAATTAGTAGAGAGTGGGCACGTTGCCTACGTACAGGAATATGTAAATAAAGGAGTCGGTCATCTGATCAATTGCTATGTTGTGAGACAAACATCTGTCAGCTTAAATCCATACAAAGTAGAATTATCTGTAAGTACATTATTGCCTATGCTTGACAAATGTAGGTTATGGTAACATATACATAAATGTGTAATTTATTTATCAGACTAACGAAGACCGCTGTATCTCCAACGTAAGCTGACAGCTCCTTCTGTTTTGTTTCATGGGTTCTACTTGGGAATTTATACAGCACCACCCCCTGCTTTTCTTTCTTGTGGCAATTAACAACGCAGCACTGTCTCGTACGCATTTCGTTACTTTGTAAACGTAAACACTGATTCAGATTATACAGCTAGCGGCAGCCTGTGTCGACTGCTTGGAGTTCTTGCTCTCACGTATACAACATTACAGATAAATATGTGTGTTGTGTACCTACTATATGACAGATGATATTTAATAACCCATTATTTAAAATTTCGGGCTATTTGAAGTGCCTAGCAAAATTATTTATCCGTATTATAGACCCAGTTTGGCTAAATAACATTTTTTTTCCGCCTTCGATTTCTCAACTAATGACTTTAAATGAAATAATATCTTTTCTCATGTAAGACAACGCTTACTGTAAGATTCATGGGGGTACGGGTTCGCCAACTTTGCTCACCTATAGCGCTGCAGTCGTTTTTTTTATCCCCTCCAACCTGATGCACGGAGCCTGCACTACAATAGAGGTGAAAATTAAGCTTTATTGACTGATATGTAGCTTAACCAACATCACTTTTATCTTTTAACTGTAATGGAGATAAATCAAAGTAGTTGGAGTAAAAGAGGAAGGATAATAAAAAATGACAAAAATACTGGGAAAAATTCGAGAAAAGAGACGCAAAGGAACATGTTATTTTTTTTTTAAATTGTATTTAAAAAAAAAAAAAATTTTATCTATCAGTCAGATAAACCGATACTAATCTATCATTAATACCAGTAACAGAAAGTATTGTCAGCATTCTATTCAGGATCATGAAAAGAAATACATTGATTGATAAAATATAAGGACAAATTTGAGAGTAAAAACAAATTTTGCTTTTGAACGTAAAGGTTAAGTGTAGAAAATCAAAACAAAAGAATTACAAAGTCAATGTGTACGGCTTCAAATAGCCTGCCAGCAATTTAGTTCTAAAATAATTAGCTATACTACTTTTTCAAGCTGATTGTAAGCCTTCAGTGTTTCTCTTAAAATGATCGTTTCCACAGCAACATATCTCACACTAATACTAGAAAAAAAATACCTGGTTGGATTGCTGACTTTATGGCTCATTGTGGAGATCAAAAGATCTTATGCAGAACACTATTATTAGTACTATTCAGGAATACTCGCAAGACATCCCAAAAGATTGTGTATTTGGCTTTTCGAAAGAACAATGAATATAGTAATTTAAACTAAAAGATTCTATTATCTCAGATTTACTCTGTCTTTCAACTTACAAAAAAACTGGTCACTTTTTTTCCATACCATAATAAAGCTCACAAAGCCATTTGTGCTCATATAAAATGCGTTTTACAACTTTTCCCTTGAATTGCCTGATTTTATGGAATCAGGATTAACATAAGGAAGCACCTATACGTTGTAAATGGGCACAAGTATATGAATGCCTTTTAGACATTCAAAATAGTAAGCACCTAAAAGTATATAGGTGTGTACGTGCTTTTTTCCAAGTTACATAATCTTTAAAAGTGTCGCAAGTAACGTAAAAAATCGTCCAGTTGATGGTAAAAAGATATTGTAATATTAACATATTAAGTAAGATTTTCTTTTTTTTTAAATATTCGAGTTTAAGGAGGCTCTATCACAGAATGTACAAGAACTTTAAATGATACATTAGGAAAGCTCAGATTGGGCTAAATCCAATGGTATCTTTATTTTTATTGGTTGGCGATTAAAATCTGGAGATAATTAAATTCAAAGTCTACAATTTTCCAGCGGGACTATGGTAGTTCACCTAAATCCGTCGTTTCACCTGATACCGTTATATCGGAGTGGGGGTACCCTGTCCAGGGGTCTGATCGAGGCATTCGATATCTCGCTTAAATAAGCAGTTTTTTCAATAATCCCTATAAAATAACCAAAAATAACGATACTGCCCATGCGTAATTTAGGGATCATCAAAAAAATTGCTTACATAAGCGAGATATCGAATGCTCCGTCAGACCCCAGTTCCCTCCAAGTGAGAAGGTGTGTTCGGTCATTTGGCTACTATATGTACATATATATTTAGTTTACTATATATACAAAGATCAGATATAGATTTTTTTTTTATATATTAGAGTGCTCTACATCCGGCTCCTTTAATAAGGGCACTAGTATGGGCACTTAGCACTTTGGAGAAGGAAGGAAAGAAGGATGGGACACCTCCCATTACTGGGGGGGGGGTAGGGGGAAATTAGGCAATTTTTTCTGCAAGAAGGTCACCTAAACCCTCCTTGAGGGGCATTGCGTAGTGAGAAAGCACATATGAATGTCACAGAGGTACTTGCCCGAAAAGTCGCACTGGCCAGGAATCGAACCACGGTCTCCCGAGTGCCAATCCATGACCTAGCTGACTGAGCCACCACGCGCTCTATCAAATATAGATGATAAATATACATCATCTTAGATACATATAATTTGAAAAGCCCAGAAGCCGCTGACGCGATTTAAACTGTAGATGGTGAATCGCTGATCAGGCGATGATAGTTTAAATTTATGAATTACATCTTGAGACCTGAAGATTCGTCTTGATGGTGACGATGCAGTCACTCAGGTTAACCTGTTCTGTTCAAAAGAGCCGACGCGCAGGGGCTAGGGTATGGGTATTCGTTTTCCTGATGCCAATGTAAAGACTCAGGATAACCAGCTCTGTGTGTGCAGCGCAGTCGACCTGATGGCAAATGATAAATATGAAGTATTCTTTAGTGTGGTGTCAGGCTTGTGATCCTGGTGACTTGGCAGAACGAAGGACGTCATGCTCTTGCCATCAAACTTAATCTGGTGCCAGGGGGGGAGGATTATTTTCCTGGTAATGATCCATTGCACTCTAGTCACTTAGGCCAGTGTGCTTCTAACAGCAGTTGAACCCTCAATCAGCCATTGTAGTCATGCTGAGTTTGCTGTTTTTTTTTAAATGAAGACGACAAAAAATGTTAGTATATGTATTATAGTGAACTTGAAATAACAAAAAAGTAACTTTACTTTTTCGGTTTTTACATCTGATTTTATTTAAAATCAGTAATATAGAACTTGC